ATTCCTGCTTAGGAGAAGGATTCATTCTTGCAAGACTTGAGCCAGGTTTGGGGACTGGCAGAAGCAAAAGAAAAGGAAGGGTTCATTTGTAGCAATCCCCTACTACTACATAATCCTGAAGAGCCACAATTTCAAAGCTGAACTCACACTAAAACAAAAGGAAAAACAGAACAAAACTAGCTAAACTAAATTAAAGCATTAAAAGGAACTACACTGAGGCTGAAGAATGAGTAGAGAGGAGGGACGCATTCAACCAAGACCTGGCCAGTTAATCTAATTTGAATTTTACTTCCGGCGTAAATTAAATATCTATGCTCCAGAAATGCATCTTTTTAAACCAACCATTGCATGGCAATGTTCTACACATACTCACTGAGGCCTATCCCTTCAGGGTCCCAATCATAATCCAGAGCTTGGATGCGCTCCTGGTTATCAATATAGTCAGAGTACTGTTCTGATGAGATATTGTATCTTCGAATCCGCACATTATCTGGCAGCAGTAACAACGGAGGATTACCTGGGAAACAATCATGAGTTTTACTTTAATGTATTTCTCACTTTAGAACAAACAGGTGAAATTCACTTCTAGTCAAAACTAAATTGGAGTTTTCACAAGTTCTGTTTGCATGAGAAGCAGAAGGAACACAGGACCACTTCTGAAGCTTTAGAGCTATCCAAACTTCTTGACTTTGCAAAATTCATTAAAAACTCTGGAAATGTTTACCACTGAGGATAGTATTATCCTTCTCACCATAGATTTTGTGCTGTAGTAATCATTAAGGGATAATTACTTAAAAATTCTTAAACATTACAGTGGTGGCATATCACCACCTCACATCTCAAAAATAAAATGCTGCTATACACTATGCAGTTCAGCTCCACCCCTCAATGTATAGGAAACCATTTTGAAAGTATGAATAAATTGCCAGTACCTTAAGCCATGACCTGCCTGAATTCTTCTACCCGAATGTCTTTACATCCTAATGTCTCCATATACAGATGAATGTTCTCCTACCCACAGGTTAATTTGGGGTTAGCCTCAATACTCTAATAACTTGACTATGGGGAATATCAGTCTCACCTGGCTGATTTTGCTGGTGAGAAAATTTAATTGTTCAGCCCTTTTGCTAAGGACAAAGTTCAGTTTGGAGTCATGGACTTAAATTCTAAGCCTTCTTCCAGGGAGTAAGTTCTACATTAATTGCATCTTCACAGAGCCAATGAGAAATGACAAGGCATTCACCTGGGAAAGGAAAATCTCACTTACCAGTGCTTTTTCCAACTAATACTGCTCGGTTTCCTATGCAGTGTTCATTTGAACACAATCCCTTTCCCTTTAAGTCCATCTTAAGACCAACTGTGGGAGAGTAAGACAAGTGACCCTATTCTCTAATGAACATACAATTCAGCGTACAAATTGACAGCATTTCCAATACATACGCTATTACAGGTAAAAGGGGACCTAATATTTTATGTGTGTTCTGAAAATGCCTACTGATCAGGCCTGCAGCAGACATAGGCAAAGGAAGCCTTCATTTATAAGTGCTATGAGCTTGTGCTACAAAGAATGGTAGAGTTCTGGGCATACATAGAGGTAGAACTTTAGGCACAACAAATTTAATGATGCTATCAGCTACAATCATGTTACCTTTTATCACTTATCCTTGAAAACTTTGGGTGTCTAGATGTGTCCTGAATGAAGCCTATGAAGAAGGGTTTCAAAGAACTAGATTTCTGACAAAAACATATAAAAACACAGCCAGGCAGAAACTCAGTTGCAAGTGCCCTTTTGTATTTCCAGTCTTAACAGTAAATATTTGCCGAATTAGGCCCTTGGACTGGAAACCCATAGATTTCCTTGTATCATTTCTCATATTACAAATAATTTTTAGGTTTCAAAACATCCAGCAGCTCAGACTTTTTGGTCACAGGCATTCTGTACTGAAGATTTTACTATCTGACTGGGCACATCACATTTCTATCATGCATCTCTTAAAGCTGTTAAGGTGTAAGTACTTTTCTAAATACAGTATTATTTCTGCCTTTTATATAATACTGCTGCATTGTCACCTTTTTCTATTTTCTTCATCTCTTTATTATTACTATTCTATTATTATTATTTTCTGAATCAACTCTCTACCTGTTCACTGACTGCCACACAGTGTAGTCACTGCACTGAGGTATGACAAAAAGCTAACAACTGACGTTAAACATTGGCCAAAGTCCTTCTGTTTCTGTGCATCAGTCCATGAACCATGAATGACAATCTGTTATCAAACTGCCTTTGATTTGTACCAGTTTAATGCTACTTTCTTCTGATGAATTATTTTGTTGAGAAAACCTAAACTTCAGGAATAGGCAACATGAATTTTCTTCTGATGACAAACAAAAGATAAGCAGGTTTTTGTCTAAGGAAAATTTTAGGAGAAAGGAAAGCAGACATCCAAATAAAGATTTTTTTTTTTTTTTTTTTTAATGTTTATGTTTGGAAGCAGAGACGAGCTATTCCTGATTATGGAATGGGTGGAATACACAGACGATATTATGTTACAGAATAAAGTTTGTTTTTTATTATCCCATAAAGAAAATAAATAAATAAATAAATAAATAAATAAATCATTAAGTTGCTATATTCTACTTGCTCTTTACAGGTAGCAACCAATCTTGGTATCAGTTAACGTACCATTAGCTGCACACTGTTTCCCTTGCTGATCACCCACAGATCTGAAGCCATCTGCACAGAAACATTCATAGCTTCCTTTGGAATTTTTGCAGTCCTGGGTGCATGTTCCAAAGATTTCACACTCATTGATATCTAGACATAAATAGAGAAAAGATACCTAGAGCTTAACCTCTTTCTTGCACATGCTAGTTATCTTTACTCCAGGAAGGCTTTGTCCCCTTCCCACATACTCGAAACTATCAGTGACCTAATAAGTGATCTTTAACATTAGCATCTGATATCTAACAGAACTCAACACTTATCTACTGTTTAACATGTCTCAACTACAGATTGCTAATAAATGCATTGCTCAACACATTGCTTTCAGAGAGACATTTTTGATCATGCATTTTTGTGTTTAATCACTAAGGAAAAACAAAAGATGAGGCATGATTACAATGAGATGCAAGAGTAGTTTTCTTTCAATAAGGAAAAAAAACCGAAGCAAATTTCTGTCCCTCAGATTGCAGAGATATGACAAAACCTATATACAGCAAAGCAAAAACATATACCTATAGCCACCAAAAGCTTTAAACAAGTCTGAACTGTGGGGCAGCTCTTTGTTGAATGAGGCCTGCATGTTAGAAAACATGATTCAGTAGTAAAACTTTTTAGGAAGCATCTGTTAAATGTATAAAAATCTGTTAGAATGATGAAGTGACAGTTCACTGAACACTTAATCAATGAGAAGATGTTTAGAAGATTGAAAATACCATCACAGGAGTTTCGGTTAGTTTCACTGGCCTTGTACCCTGGCCTACAGGAACAGATAAAGCCTCCTTCATTCAGGTTGGTACAGTTATGTTCACAGATATTTTCTGCACAAGTTCGCTCTGTTCCAGGATCTGGGGGGAAGAAGAAAAAAAAAAAAAAAAGTAAATTATACAATTATAACCAAAAATAAAGTGGTAAGGGGGAGAGAGGTATAATAATTTTGATCATTATTATAATTGAAAGTGGTTTTCAACTAGACAACATTGGTTTTCTTTCATTTTTTTCCTAATTGAAACTCAATTAATGTGAATATCTACTCTCTAAGGCATAACTAACTAGAAAAGGATCATAAACACTGGTCAAGACAGTTGCCAACTAAGTTTAACCTCTAGAAATAAGTGAAAAGGGTCAGGAAAAGAGCCATGACCATCCAAGTTCACCTTCCTTAAGAGGAAAGGCATTCTAAATTACCACCAATCTGCAGTAACTGCAGAAACTATTTGAGAGTTGACTAACTCTCAAAGAGTCTGACTTATGTACGAAATTTGCTCTTAAATCCTACCTTTGCTGACCTTTCTCTTTCTTACCCAGTCCTTCCTTATCAGCTAAGCAAAAAGTGTTCTCAATTGCTATCACGCATAACACAGGTCCTACACTATTTATACCTGGAAATTAGAGAGATGACAGGTTGTTCATGCTACACCTACTCTAAAGCCTTCTGAAGTCAATACAAGTCATTGCACAGAATGCACTATCTTTTAAAACGTGCCTATAGTGGAAAAGGCAGGGGATAATAGATACTCTGTAACAGATAATGAAAATTATATTCTTTTCAAAGTACACATAGAAGTCTAATGATTCTGACATACTTATACACAAAAGCACTTTCAAACTCAAATCTGTTATATAAGCAGAAGCAGAAGAGATAAATAATATATGTTTATTGGCAGAACATGAGAAAAAGATAGAGATGGAGGGCAAAGACATTACATTAAGCTGATTATCACCTTTATACATACACATCCCAGTGCTGACTAAATTAAGTTTAAATAGCTCAATTTTGTATACATGCAGAAGCATAAATTCATTGCACACAAACACACATAAATAATCTATTTTCTCTATAACACGTGTTTGATGTTGGGAAGGCTACAAATGCCACCATCTGATCTACATTCACATCTGTCCCCAAACAGTAGAACACTGACTGGCAGAAGGTGTCTGTTTTGCACCGTTTCACATCCTTTTTATACTTTTATGTTTTCATCAAGTCATTGTGTTAGGTTATGTTGCCTACAGACCATTGGGATGGTATGTGAAACAGAGAAATTATTTGCTTCAAATTGGACTGCACTATAGGTTTCTGAGTTATTTGCATTTTACAAGCATCCTGGATTGTAAATCACCAGTGCATCATTTGGCATACTTTCACTTGAACCCACCAAAGCCTGACAAATTGAAATTGCAAGTACAGGCTCATATTATCACTCTGCAGCTGTCTACATATTGATATAAAAAGTTAGGAATTATATCTTTTTTTCCGGATTCCACGAGAATACTCTCTCATGCCCCAAAGTTCAAGTCAAAGCTTTTGCATCTAAACGGATGCCAGTAAATTTATAATACATAATTTAAAAAAGTTGTGCAGAGGATCTCAGATGCTCTCAGCCCGAGGACTGGCTGTCCTTATAGAATTCTGTGGTCATGTCTCTAAATAGGAAAATAGAAGCATCTCAACATACTTTTGTTTTCAACAGTGCTAGAGCCACCTATACCAGTTCAGAGTCTGCCCATGAATAATTCCATAGGTTGGCCTAGTGCAGTTACAACTGAAATATCCAGAGGTTCTTGCCTCCATAATGCAACCCATTTCTAAACAAGATCAAAACCAAGATCAAACCGTTTTTTGTGATGCATACATATTCTAAGCCTAAAAAGGGCTGTTCAGAGTACTGAATTTCATAGGGTTTCCCTCAAAAGACGGGCGAGAGAAGAAGACACTGTCATGGCTAATTGGATAATCCCACCATAGGCTAATTAAAAATCAATACTTCTTAATACATTGTTCAAGAAGAAATATGTATTGTTATCAGTTTCAGAAATTTTTATTTCAATAACATTGTAATTTTGTATTCTATTGATATAATTTACTTACTGCAGCCCAATTCATCAAAATGATCTCCACAGTCATCATAATTGTCACAGACATAATGTAGAGGAATGCAATTTCCATTACTGCACTTGAATTCTTCAGTTGTACAAGGTCTTGGGGTTGGTTGTCTACCTACAGTCAAGAAGAGAAACACTCCTCAGTCACAGTTTCAGCTATGCAATACCAACAGACAGCACGAGCCACATTGCTAATGAGGAAGCTGATGAAATCTGGTAAAGTACTGGCTAGTGACTTTGGAAGTTTCTAGGAAAGTTAAAACTGTAACCGGGCTCTCCTTAGTTCTAGTCACATCCACATAAACTGAAAGAAGCCTCTCCATTTTATAAAGACAGAAGGAAAATCATTCTTGTTAATAGTTGATTGAAGTTTCTTTTTAATAGTGCAGATTATTAATATCCTATAATGAAATACTTCATACATTTACTGCAGACTTCAATAGATTTTTGAGATATTAGTAAACTATTAACTTTAAGCGTATTGTACAATAAAGCCAGTAAATAATATCATTAAGCAATCAAAATATGACTAAACTTGATAATATAAAAATCAACATAGTCAATGAGAGCTACATAAGATATGAGGGCAAAAAATCTCTTGAATATTAACAGAGTTTCTGCAAGTTTTGAGCCTAAATACCAACACTGTTACTATGTATGTAACCGTGCCACCAATTCAGAAGTACCCATTTCTCTGTTTTAAAAGTCCCACCTACCCATCCCATCCTTATTTTATGATACAGCAAAACTCTATCTTCTTCCTTATTTTAAGTGGAGTTCATAATAAGTTGACACAATTTATGCTTCTCATAATACACTATGTTTTTGAAAATCATGCTTTGTATTTTTCAGACAAATGTTTGCTGATTTTTGCTACTTGTATGGAGAGCTGCAAATACATAGTACCAATAATCATAGTTCAAATTATGGCATACTGAGCTCTAGTGTTCATAATTTATGTTTCATTTTGACATTTCTATAGTCCTTTGGTATTATTAAATATTAAGTACATCACAATTACTGAATTTGCTGCTCAATTTTCTGTAAACATACAGTGTTCCTCTTTCTCATCACTTCCATCTCCACAGTCATCCTCCTGGTTGCACAGCTCATGACTATATATACAGCGATTGTTTTCACATCGGAAACGGAACGGAGAGTCACAAGAAATATCCACTGAAACCACAGAGATCAAGTCAGTCACACTTTGATACTTCATGCCATTGAGTCACAAATGATTCCAATCACTTTTATCTGGTAATATTTGTAAGTTTCCGATATTTTAAAAGGTGTGGAGGCATTGAGACACAAAAGCATATTTTCTCCACATTTTGCTGATGGTATGTTACGCCATTACACATTTTTTGTCAGAAGACAGTATATCATCCTTGGCCAAAGGCATATCCTATGATTACATGTAACACTGAAGTTTCTACATTTGTATGAAGTAAACTGAAAATTCAACATGCTATTTATGTGGCTATATAGTGCATAAATGACAAAAATCATTTATATAGCACCTCCAACACCTCAATTTAAGAGCTGAAGTCAGGACACTTCAACCATATTTACACAGATGTCCCAACTATACGAATAGCTTTAAAAGCTCAGCACCTTTGAGAACATACATTATCTGAATTCATCTTTAATTGAACACTGACACTCTTATTTTAGATAACCAACCTGAAAATGTGAAATTTTGATATTTCTCCCTTCTTTTATAACCACATATACAAACATCTGCAAAGCAGTGAGAAATATAGTATAGGAAGACTAAGTGAACTTGGATATGAAGCAAAATTCTCAGCAGTGATCTTGAATTAAGTCTGTGAGAATCTCCAGTGAAAATAAAATATTTAAAATTTATTTTCTAATTGTTCTTTCTGTTGTAATTAGAGATTTTATTATGCCTATTGTTCACTTTAATATAATTTTTCTCTCTTACAGCAAAGGTGAAGTTCTTCATCAGAGTCATCTCCACAGTCATTATCACCATCACATTTCCAGTATGGCTGGATACAGACGTGGTTTTTACATTCAAACAGCATAGGTGGACAGTATGTACCATTAGGATATCGTGTTGCTGAAGAAAATAAAATTATTATGACATGTTCATTTACAATGAAAATTTTAGGTTTTCCTGAAAAATATTCAGCCCAACCCTATATTACTTTTTTCAATACCCTCCTCTCCATAGTAGGAGATATAATATGAGGCACTGCAAAGATCCACAGCAACAATACACTGCAAGGACTGAATACTTCTTAGCAGTTATAACATAATAAATTCAGGTTTGAATGAATAGTAAAACAACATTAGTTACCTCCAGAAGCTTTTGAAAATAAACTGTCATTAATTTAACAAACACTACTTGAATTTGTCATGACAAATCTAGTTCAGTAATAAAGGTAAATAATGTCACTGGCAGCACATGTGAATGACTGAAGAAGTACCCAAGATATCTATTCCAAAGGGACTCATGTTGGTATAATAGTAAAGAAAATACTCAGATTCTGTAAAAGTTGTTAAAAAAACTGAACTAGAGCAAAAACAAACAAAAAAATACAACTCTCACAACCTATATAAATAAACCATATCCTTGCCTTTTCAATGGCTTCTCATACATTTTTTCCCTCCCTTTAAGAACAGCCAAATGTTGTATAACTCAAGTTCTGAAAGATTAACTGTTGCAATGTACATTCCAGGATGTAGTTACCATCAGAAAAAAAAAAAAAAAGGTCCTACTGTGCAGATGCCTCTTCTTACTTAAAGCACAGGTGTTAAAATTAAGTACATGGGAAGATGTACAGAACTGCCCTGATACCAACATGATGAGAAAGGAATTCTCCTGAGTACTGAAGCCTAAACTCATTTGAACATATAAGTCAGAACCAACACTTCAATATCACCTAAAAAGCCAATGTCAGTTCAGCACTGATAGAGCACGAAGATGATATTTTCATTCCTACTGGGAACACCATTTCCTGGGTAAACAGCTGGAGCTGTAGCTCCATACAAGATACAGTGTACAGACATTTTTTCACAGTAGATCAATATACACAAGGGAGACAGAAACAAAAAAAGTATTTTAGTTCCTTGGCTTCACTGGTACTTTAGGAAACTATACACAACTTTAAGCATTATAAAAAAAAAAATCCACTACAGAACCTTGTTAGAATATGGTACAACTGAAACAGTGGATACTGCAGTAGCTGTGGGATAGTAAAAAAAAATTTAATTCGATCACATGTGTATCTTTCTGCTGTACCTTGTAAACGCATTGATTTCCTAGCATGAGGAATGTGTTTACAATTAGTGTAAGAGATGGCAATCCATTATTATATTAGAAAGTTGATTAAAAATATTATACTTATCCTGAATTTTTTACTGCCATCACTGAGTGCTGCAGAATTCTGTACATTTAAGGAGTCATCTCACTTTTAAAAAAAAAAAAAGTATCTTTCTGGAAGTGAGTTTAGTGAGCACCAATTGCAAAGCTTGAAACTCACGACAAGTTGCTTCATCAGAGAAATCAAGGCAATCTGCGTTCCCATCACATCTGAAGCGCTCTGCAACACAGTGTCCACTATCACACTGGAAATAACCTGGGTGGCAGGTCCTCATCTCTGAAAAGATTCAGAAGTAACTGTTGAAACATCATCTTGTTCAAATCCAGATAAAGTCTTTACTTTTTGAGAACATCCTTAAAAAACACTGCAAAATTCCAGACCATTATAACTGTGCTATCCTCTACTTTCGGTGGATTAACTAAAGTAATCTGCTCAACTTTACTGCAATAAAGACGCTCCTCATAAAAGATCATTTTGTAGAATAATTTATCACATTAGAAACAAAAGTGTGAACATGTAAGAGGTAGCATCCAGACAATACATACCACAGTCCCGTTCATCTGAATTGTCTTCACAGTCATCATCGTGATCACAGATCCAGCGGGAAGGAATGCAGCGCAAATTGTCACAACGGTATTCACTTTCTGTGCATTCACGAGGACCTTCATTTAAAATGAATGTACAAATATGAAAAGTTCCCCAGATGTAGATCTAAACATCCACACCTGTCTCATTGAACCAGACAAAAGTAATATGGGCAGATAATGTTGTATAATCCTTAAAAACTAGATAATGTTAAAACAATATTCCCACCGATACTCTAAATTATGTTAAACATTCTATGTCCCTCTTGACATAGAAAAAAGGAAATTCATTGTGGATTTTGTTCCATCACAGAATTATACAGCAATTTTAAAAGGTTTTCAAAATCAGAAAATCAGGGGAAGAAAATATCCACTCTCATTGTTTAAAGAACTATTTAATATCACATTTGCACACAGGGCAGAATTCAAATGTCACTTCTTAGTGGAAAACAGGAATTTGTGTTATTGTGATGACTGGATTTATCAGTGTTTTTATGTATCCAAAATGCTTCCTTGCCACATAACTGTGGTATTTCAGCAAAGAAACAACAAACAAATGAGTAAAACAACGCAATGGTTGCAGTTGACAGCTGTCTGCCCCATTCTCATACAAAAAGAAGGATAGTTATGTCAAAAGCTGGACTATAGCATGACAGACAAAAAAGAACTCACTGCAATTGTGCTCATCAGAGTTATCTCCACAGTCATTATCTCCATCACACTTCCAGCGCAGTGGGATGCATCGATGATTGTCACAACGGAAATCTCCAGAAGGACTGCAAGTCATTTCCTCTGCAGTGTACACAGTTTGCCAACAAAAGAGCACACGTTAGCATAGTCTTTGGATAAGATGGAAGACACAGAAGATAATGGAAGTAGATAGAGATGTTCAGGCCACAGACTGGGCCAAGTAAGAGAGAAGTGATTAAGAAACAGCTGAAATAACCATATAGAACTGAGACACAAACACAGAAATAAACTTAGTGCTGCCAAGGGAGGGCACATTGACCTCAGGTTGTGTTACACTTTCAAGTCTTTTCTGATTGTGATATAGTGATCCGATGTCCTCTAAGCTTTGTGTAGAGAGGTTTCAATACAAATGCAAGGGTCTGGGAAAGCATCATCAAACTTCCCATACTGATGGTTTCACCAGCACAGGAGGTAAGTTAAGTAAATGCAGAAAACACTGATGGTTTTTAATTGTCTAAAATAGTTCAGCTCAAATAAAAGTACTTCCAGTTCCATTTGATGGCATATTAGGAAAAATAATAAAATCCTCATCTTCAGAGCACATAAACAGGTGGTATGGGTGATGAGTGACAGAGCACTGCAACAGGCTGCCCAGAGAGGTTGTGGAGTCTCCTTCTCTGGACATATTCAAAACCCACCTGGATGCAGCCTTGTGCAACCTGTTCTAGATGTACCTGATTTGTCAGGGGGGTTGGACTAAGTAATCTCCAGAGGTCCCTTCCAACCGCTCCCATTCTGTGATTCTATAAACATGGGAGCTGCACAATTAATTGCTGTACATAGTATTTTTCCTGAAGACAAATAACTACCAGGGTAATTAACTTATATCAAACAATATTCCTAGGTACATTATTACTGAAGACTTTCAGAAAATCAAGGTGTTTCCAAATTGGAGAAAGACTCTAGGTACAAAGTTATGTTGAAATGACTTTCTTCTCCAAACATACCACAGCCTTGTTCATCACTGTTGTCTCTGCAGTCATCATTCCCATTGCACACTGCCCACAGAGGTATGCAACGGTAGTTGGTTCTACAGCTGAATTCTGTGTGATTGTCACATCGATAGGCAGGGCCCACTGAAAGAGACAGTTGTCAAAGTCAGTTGTGTTACTTAGCCACTAAACTGTCCTCCTTGCTATTCTGCCTTTCAAAAATCTGTCATGATTTATAGTCAATTATTTCTACTATAAAGAGCTATCTGCTAACTTCAGTGTTGTAAAAGAGAAAGCATTTAACGTATCTGATTTTATCTTTTCCAGTCTATGCAGCTTGTATTCTGCATAAGCTACAAACCCATGACAGGTTCAAATGACATTCAGTGTATTTTTCCCTGAAGTATTTAGAGCTGGTAATGGTGGTAATATAAGCCCCAAATCTGCAAGTCAGAGGAGTCAGCTTGTCCTCAAATGGAAAAAAACTTGGTCACCAGTTCTTCCAGATGGTCAGTGACTCAAAGAGACATGCTGGAGCACATAGGAAAATCCTGCCGTTAAACATAGGCTAAACTGTGCTCTACATTTGTTCTTGTAAGCTTTTGTTTCCAAATCATGTGCCTATCATCATGAGAAACTTTAGCTTCAAGAAATGAAACTTTACTTTGTTTTTGTAAAAAGTATGATATTTGACCTCAGAGCATGACATATAAGGTAAAAATTGGTGAACTGGCTATTCATTGCCAAGCAAAGGATGCTGCTAGCATCAAGCAAGTCAGACATTGCCAGTTCTTGATAATCTGGTTGGCATTAATAAGCTTTCTCCCATTAAGAATAAAGATGTAGTAAATTATCACATAGCCTTTATATTTTCTAACAGTCTTTACTACATGTTTGCAATTATCTTGAAGAAAATATTCCTTTCCAATAAATTTTCAACCTCAGGAAAATTGAGTAATGCAGTTTTCTCTGCTTTTGGTGCACTATAATGTAGGCAGCTTACTACAGCTATGTGCTTACTGCATTCATGGAATGGCTCATCAGAGTTATCACCACAATCATCATCCACATCACACTTCCAGGACTGTGGGATGCAGCGGCCATTGTCACATTTAAATTGGCCTGGGGGACAGGTTCTACTGGCACAGTGAGTACTATCTTCATCCGAGTTGTCACCACAGTCATCTTCTCTATCACACTGCCAGGCTTCTGGGATACATCGCTTATTGGCACATTGCCACTGATGAGTTTCACACTGGTGATTAGCTGAAAGAATACAAATTGGCTATTAGGATACTGAAATTTAAGGAATGGTCTCCTGCTGGTATGTCAATTGAACAGTTATGTCTACACCAAAAGTTCAAGAGAAAGCCTGTAAAAATTTAAAACATCCCATTTACTTGCCCAGTTAAGGTACAGATTTCTAATGTCAAATGGCACATTTCCTACAGGCATCTTCAGACGTGCTCACTAAGGCTCTACGCTTGTTTAGAAGCAAGACAAATACTATCTTCTCCTAAAGGAGAGGGGAGCAAAGCCAGCATTCCAACATGATGGAGGCAGGGGCTCCCAGTCACTTCACAGAGAAGCTAAGTGACATTGTGGCTCTGGCCATGCTACCAACTTAGGTGTACATTGCCTGATGAGCCTGTTCCTCTGACTATGAATGAACAAATCAGAAAACTTAGCAGAAGACCATGTTAATAACAAAGACCATGCTAATAACAGCTCCACAACTTATAAATGTAGAGCCTCTGTTTCCCAAGGGCAAAGCACTGGAAGCTGATGCCAGCAGTGCTGGCAAACTGGGGGAGCTCTGAAGGCCTATGAAAATAGGAGTCAACACTGAGCTCTGCTTCCAGACTTTGTATGTCACACTGGACACCACCCTACTATTTTTTCAAATATACCGACAAACTGTTCAAGAGGAAATAGTACATTATGATTTCCATACATTTTCTAGACTAAAGGATTCTATTCCCATGCATGGGATGATAAGCAGAAGAAATTATATAGACCTAAACTGACTTTTATTATAACCAGTACATTAAAACAGGTAAAATATTACGCAGCTGCCACATTTCTACTTATTTAACATTCCCCTGTGCAACACTTAAGAGCTTAGCTATTTGAAACTCAGGTAAAATTGACATTTCATTTAATTCTGTCATTATTAGAAACACTTAATGGAAGGCAATGAACATATGAATTATACAACCACACTGCTTTCCCCCACACACACCTTCCCTTTATGTTACTAAGTTTGCAACTGTCAGAACTACATTATTTACAAAAAGAGAACTAATGATGTGGTTTTTATAAATTAGACATAAGTATGTGGAATAAGACTAGTTTTTAAGGAAATAACATTATTCCACAGGCATAATTAGGCTATATTTTGAAAATACTGCCATCACAAACAGCTCTCCAAAACAAATGTTCCCACATGCACTGGATTTTGTGCAATGCAGAGGGTGAAACAACTTCGTCCCATTACACAAAGCTCCAGAATACAGGGAAAACTAGCATTCCTGGTAGACTGACCTGGGCATTAAAAGCCTTAGATTCCTCATACTCACCACAGCTTTACTCATAATAAAGTTTGTCCTAGTATTTTACACCTCAGATTGAGACAGATTTCTACTGGTGTAAATTACAAAGGTTTAGAAAATGTTTGTTTCAGTATAGTATATTTTTGCTCTCCTTTACCCTGCTTTTGCACTGAGGTGAATTGCTCTGGCAGGTGCAAGACTAGAGAAGACTGTATCTGTCTACTTCACCTTTCCATCTGTAAAAAAGGGATAATGATTCTGAAATTTATATATAGATTACACATTTTGTACTGGCAAAACATTTAAATTTATTGGTTGTAACATACCACAAAGTACGGGATCTTCATCTGATCTGTCATAACAATCTGGCTGGGTATTGCACAAGAAATGTGGACTTGTGCAGTTCCCATCGTTACACTGGAACTGACCAACAGGACAGTATCGGTGTGGACAGGTAGGGGGCTCATCAGAGCCATCTCGACAGTCCCGCTGTCCATCACACTTCCACCAGATAGGAATACACCTACAAAGGCAAAACAATGTTTTCTTTGTTGAGAATATGTCTCTACAGACATACAACCATCCTTTTACAGCACAAAAGACCGTCTTGTCTCAGTGTTATTTCTTGACATTTCAAAGACATCTTGAATTTCATGTCTTCTGTTTCATATGTCAAATGCTAACAAAATATGCCGGAACACTGTCACCAGAAACAGATTATATTGGTGGGCTTCTAGAAGGAAGTTCACAGGAAATCAATAAGGATTTAATTTTTATGTATATTCGTAGTAACCACCTCTCATGCTTTTTAAATCAATCTTCAGTTGTATTTTTAATGAGGTAATATTTTAATAGTTTAACTTTAGCACAAGAATTCCAGTAGGGATTATCATTGTAACACTGCTTCAAAAGGCCACTCAATTAGCACACCTGCCTCACAGGCTCCAGAGTGACACAGTATCAGCACAGTAGCTCTTATATCACAGTTCCTCTCCTTTCACTGCTGTTGCCTCAGAAAAAGGGTTCAAAATCTGCTCCCACATCACCCAAATGGCTTTCCTGGGCTACTGGCAGACATCATTTGGCAGAAAGGCATGCATTGTAAAAGATATGCAAAAAATAAGGGAGGGTTCCAGGTTTGTGAACTCAGCTGGAAATGGTTTCTGAAGGTACATGTTTCTGAGATGGAGGTACATCTTTGGTACATTAGCAATGTCGTATGACAGGAAGAAAAGGGAAAAAAAATACCAATAAACAATTGGTCTTGAAGTACTTTTCAAAATGGAAGCCTGTCTGGTCCTTGCCTTGTCTTTGCAAGGTCACCACAAACTCATAGTGAGAGCAGAAGGAATCCCCATTTTCACGCCTTTTTGAAGAGACTAAATTGTAAAATATATCCTTAAAAATACATGGTAAGAAAGATGGTGAGCAGTGGACTTACCTCTCAGTGTCTGCACAGAGAAACTGGGTGCTAGAGCACATTGGAAGGCAGTGGGCTGTATTGCTGAACTGTACTATCATGAAGTTATCAGGACATTCACAGGAATAACTCTGACCACCAGCTTTTATTAGACAAAGATGTGAACAACCACCATTGTTGGTGCCACAGGGATTATTAACTGGTAAAACAGAAGAATAAATATTACCATACTTTGAAAATCCCAGGACCCAAAGGTCTCAACCTACAACAGACTCCTCAAAAACTATATTGAAAGCTTAAATGTAGTAAGTTGAAAAACAAAACCTAGGTAAGTAGCCACTTAATGAGAGAAATACGTATTATTTAATATACAAGGAATGTATGCTATTAAGCCACAACATTTTAGAAACTAATTTAAGATTATGCATTTCCAGCCATTGCTATTCAAAGAAAAGGCAATAGATGCCTACATGTACTCAGTGCATTTCATTCCCCTCAGGAAAAGTAAAAGATGAGTGCACTTAGGACCCTCTACAACTAGTCTCTGAATAATAGCTGACCCTCTAAATGCAACTCTAATTCTGTTTTCTCACCAAATGGCTGTCTGTATGGATGGTAAACATGGATGTCAAATGGCCTGTGTGTGGTATTCACAAGAACAGTCCTGTCTGATCCATCATATTTATTCCCCTTTTCAACAGTTCTTGTGTTCCAGTCAGTCCAATATATTGTGTCTTCAAAAATAGTTATTGCAAATGGATGAGGTAAAGTCCCATCATACACTGTGTGACGGTGATGTCCATCCAGGTCAGAGTACCTACATGAAGGAAAATATGTGCAAAACATTCAGATAAATGCTAAACCATCACATCTTTATTATGTGCTTATGGTGCTTCATTATTGGTGATCAGGATCAAGCAATGTGGAATTGCAGCTTCTTTAGTCCCTAACGATAGAGGACGGTCCTCAGTGATATCATTTTAAGATATGCAGGAAAGTAACAGGTTATTTTAGGCAAATAAAGAGAAGAGAGGAACATTTACTGAAACGTAAAGTCTTCCCACAGAAGTGTCTCAGTTAGTCCAATGAACTTTTGTACATCTACTGTTTTAACAGCAAGTTATTTTTGTTACACAAGAGACTAGCTTGCCTGGATCATTCAGACTGTTAGTAATGGAACAATAAAAGGCCTCCTCTATTCCTGAATTTTACATGTCTTTCTGATTCAGAGCCTCCTCTGATGAGATATCTTTAATAAGATTTTATATTTTTACTATCAACTTGCTATAGGGGGAAATTATGAAATATAAAACAGAAAAAGACATAGAGAAACACATATAATTAATATAAATTTTTTAAAAGTAATTTTTAAGACTTCAGCATAGAATGGCTGTCAGGTGAACTAATGTAAAGAATACAAGTAAATATAAATCTAAACGTACATGTAAATATGAGTACAAATATAAATACTAATAAAAATACAAAGGATTGGTTTTGAACTATTTCAATGCCTTGACAAGAACTACAATGTTAGTTGTTCATTTTACTGATACTTAAGTGGAGATTTTCTGCCACTAGAAGCAATTAATAGATTTCTCTTGATTAATAAAAAATTCATATGCTATCAGGAAATTCTGTGTCATACCTATGGACAAACATTCAGACATCTTCTAACCACTTGTATACTATGTTATTAGTGCGTAACTAGTTTAGTTACAGCTCAACTCCTATCTATATGCAGAAACAAGAGAATCAGAAAAAATAGTGATTTTATACTTGGTTTTGCTTTGGTTCAGGTTGTACACCTAGAGAAGTTGCATATTTGAGTACAAACTCTTTTCACTATAATTTTTGGACCACTTCCAGTGGGAACTAGGATGCAAATACAGGAACTAGGCTACAGTGTCATCTAGTGATTTGTGTTGCCTACTACTCCAGACTTTCTCACCCTTGTTTCCTCTAGAGTCAGTGGGTATAAGTATGTATGATGCTTATAGCATCTATAGATGCTACCACTGCACTCTGACATGAGCCATTATTTAGCTGTTTCATTCATTTCTGCATACGTACTCAATGTAATTTAGATGAGCATCTGCCCAATAGAGCTTGTCGTTGGTGTAATCTATGGTGAGTCCATTGGGCCACTCTAACTTTGTAGATATAATCACCATCTTCTCCTTGCCATCCATGCCTGCTCGTCCGATATAGGCTCGATATGCCCAGTCTGTCCAGTAAATCTGTCTGTTCAAATAAATACTTACAGTTAGGATTGTAGTAAAAATATGCTGAAGTAAATAGTAGAAGCCATACCTCGAATACAGTATTTCCTGCAAAAGAACTAAAGTAGAGGTTGAGGAAGATAAATGTTAATGTATTTGTTACTTTAACTGCCACAGCAGACAATTGTACGATCACAACTGTCTTTAAAGAAGGCAACTGGCAGCCCCACTGCCTATCAAACCACACACACTTCTATCAACCCTTTTAGCCTTGTAATCAAAACTTCCTCATCCACATATTACCAAATTCCACTTTCAATGACATCTGACAGCTCTACATATATACCTATAAAAAGCAAGCTACTATTTTTCCTAAGCTGCAACTAAGATCTAATGTCACACAAATCTAAGTGCAGGCAGTCAAAATTTATTTCACATTTTCAGAGATAGTGCAAGACTATTTGCAAAAGAAGGGAAAAGCACTCTTAAAATATCATACCCATATTTTGGATGAACAACAATTGCTCTGGGGTACTGAAAGCAGAAAGTGTTGTTGGCATCCACACACCGATCCACCAGTTTTTTCCGGAATCTTCCATCAAGTTCAGAGACATAGAGACAATCTTTGTAGGCATCCACCCAGTACAGTTTTCTGAAATGTTTTAGAGTTAATTTATTTACTCTTATTTACTTTTTTTATTTTGCTTCACAGCATCTTAAATTTCACATTTTTTCTCCTAGAAGCAATATATCCACTGTAAAGGAAGAATACACATAATGTACTGACATGTCTTCTACACCATGCTCCAGACTACCCTTTTCACTCTTGCTGTTCCTGCATCCACAGTCATTGGTGCCAAATTCAAACTTGCAGTTGCCCACTCAAGTAATAATATGCCTCTCCTATGCAAACAAGCTGAGAGTTGGGGCTGTTCAGTCTGAAGAAGAGAAGGCTCCGGGGAGATCTTATAGCGGCCTTCCAGTACCTGAAGGGGGCTACAGGAAGGCTGTGGAGGGATTTTTTACAAGGGCAGGTAGTGATAGAACAAGGAGTAACAGCTTTAAACTGGAAGAGGGAAGATTTAGATTAGATATTAGGAAGAAATTCTTTATTGTGAGGGTGGTGAGACACTGGAACAGGTTGTCCAGAGATTTTGTGGATGCCCCCTCCTTGGAAATGTTCAAGGCCAGGTTGAATGAGGCTTTCAGTAACCTGGTCTAGTGGAAGGTGTCCCTGCTCAGGGCAGGGGGACTGGAACTAGATGATCTTTAGGGTCCCTTCCAACTCTAACCATTCTATGATTCTTTGATGATTTGCCTATAAATTCCTAAACCTCCCTTCTCTCCCCTTCCTCTCCTATCAACAATGGCCAGTGGAGAGGAGCAGGAAACAGACATGTAGTGCAACGGCTTGTGACCACAATACTGCAACGTATTGGAAAGAATCACCATCTTTTCCATGCTGCCACATCTGCTCTCATCAAACTTGTAGAACAGTTGCCAGGGTCTCCTTTGAAAATTCCTAAGCAGTTTGATGGGCTAATTTAAATTTCACCTACTAACACTTCTATTACTTTGCCTAGGAATTATACACAGCTGTAACCAAAGAAATCACGTAAAATCTGAAGCAATGATTTTTAAAAGTCTGCAAAAAACCAAAGCATTTAAAGTCATTAGAACTGCAGCAGGCTACTCTGAAATTATCTGCAGCAGCTGGTCAGTTCCAGCATCCACAGGGTGGATGGCATACCAGACACAGCCTGACAGATAGAGTCTCTGTCTACACCACCCTGAGCAGTGCCATTCCCATCAGGGAGGAGAAATCTTCCCCAGCCTGCATGTAATGGCATCCTCCAGTCCTCTCCCTGCACTGAAAGTGAGCAGAAGATCTCATATACCATTGTATCATCCTTCAGCCTTTCTGAAACACCTAAACAAAAACTGACTGAAGACATAAATAGTGGTAGCTGAAATAATTCAGCAACTGCATTAGCAACGGAGCAGTAGGACTACTTCATCTAAAATTAGGCTCTTCCTTCCTCATCTCTGCATGCATTAGAAAGCATTTGGGACGACTTGGAACATTAATTATCATTAGGTTTAGAGACAAAGTGGTTTAAAGATAAAAACTGTTATATTGACATATTCATATAAACACTCTCATATAAGTTCCCAATGTGACTTTTTGAACCATTCTCATTATTTTGCAGAGTCTGATCCATGCTACTTCAACTTTTCATACTGATAATACCGTAATCAGAAAGCAAAACCTGATAAAAGACAGCCAAGAACACTGTCAGAGATGGTACCACATAAGGACAGAGTTTCTGTGGGAGTAAATCAGACTACTTTTTAACACACAGCAGGCAATTAAAAAATTACCATAATGCAAAGTGCTTCCCAATTACCTCACCCTTATAGCACCCTCCTTACAGCAAATGATGTGGATCATGTTTTTTGAGTGTCCATTAAAGATGCATTTTTCAAGAGCAAAAGAAACATGCTCTTGCATTGGCACCAAAGCTAAATTTCATTAATGTTTATTATTGTTTACTTTGTTGGAACCTAGTTACCTGTTGTAACATATTATTTATGCATAGAGTGAAGCCTGCATCCCAATCCCAACAAGTGCTAACAAAGGAATAAAAAGCCTAAGCTCAGAATCCCTACCCCATAGCCACATGTAACCTACCTGCTTGCCTATTCTAACAAGTCTTTCCCAAGGGTTATACACACTACTTTATTACTGATGAAAGAGCAACTCTGATACAACCTCAATATACTAGATATGAGAGCAATTAGAGAAAAGTGTTATGCAATGTATTAGATGCTGATAAACAGTTCCAGCACAGCTGTTCAAGACTGCATCCACAATCCAAAAGTATTTCAGCAGTTATTGAGAATTTCACAGTAAGTGGGAGAAAAGCCCTAAGATAAACTCCCTCACATATAATTTCCTTAGTAGCTCAGAAAGACAGAAAATGTATTTTCTTACCTGCCAACCCAGTCAACAGCGATACCTTCCCCGTTGGGCACATCATCACTTATCACTGTCTCCTTATTTGTTCCATTTAGGAACATCCGTTCAATGACCTTCCTCCCCACATCAATCCAGTACAACCTCTTTTCCACCCTGTCAAAGTCCAGTGCCACCACATTTCTCAGTCCTTGCAAAATGAGAGAGTAAGACTGGCCATCTGCTGTGAGATTTCTCAGATAGTAACGGTTGCTAAAAATAAGGTATGGGGAGATATTACTATTTTGCCGGCAACTTTTTCCATCAGGCTCCCGGATATAGCCTGGGGCACACTTACAGATGTAGGAGCCAGCTGTGTTCTCACAAATCTGGCTACATACTGATGGAGTTTCATTGCACTCATCAATATCATCACAAGTTCGTTTATCAGACATAAGTTTGTATCCGGGATGACAAGAACAGTAGAAACTTGTCTGTGTGTCTGTACAGTCATGATCACATCCACTGATTGAAGGGTCACTGCATTCATTCACACCTGGGGAAGGAAAGGAGTTCTATTCAATGAACCATCTAGCAGAGAAAATAGTGCAGCTGCTTTCCAATGTACTCTCTCTCTCTCTCTCTCTCTCCCTGCATCTAGGCTGCAAGGAGCAAGGAAAAGAATCTAATCTAATCTAAAATTATTCTAGCATTTTTGCGGTCTGCCACCAAACACACTGAGTGCAAAATATACAGTTATGAATGGTGTATTTTGGGAATGTAAGGGCAATACATAAACAATGTAAAAGCCATACTTTGTTTATATACTTAGCTAATTTTCACAGTTTGTTAAAGCAATATCCAATAAGTATGACTTAATTAAAACAAAAAATTAGATATATACAATTCTTATAATCCTTTTGAGAGACCATGGAGTAGATATGACGGTAATTAAGAAATTGTCTTGAGTTCATTTTTTTTTTTAAAGCTGCTGAAGCATTTTGAATTAAATAAGACAATACAAATAAATCTACACATACCACATCCTTTTTCATCACTGTTATCTAAGCAATCATCCAACCGATTGCAGACTTTAACTATTTCAATGCAGTTTCCATTGTCACATTTAAAATGATGGGGAGAGCAGGTCGCTTCTGGTGTACTACAGAGATGTTCCAGCTCGTCAGATTCATCACCACAGTCATTATCCCCATCACAGATGTAGGCCTTGGAAATGCAGCGCCCATTCTGACAAGTAAACTGGTGCTGTTGACATGGTTCATAGATGCATCCCCTTTCATCACTGCTGTCACCACAGTCATTCCGCCTGTCACATCTAAAGGAGAATGAAAATTTTTTTAAAATGTAAGAAGGCAATTACTATCTCTAGGGCAGATGGATATACACACTCTTCTGATTTCCAAAGAAGGTCAGATATTACTGGCTCCAACAGAAGAGACTTTCAGAAATCAGGGTCATATTATATAGAGTCTAATCCTCTGAGTCCTGCTCGTATTACCCATATACATTACAAGCTGAATAGAATCAGCCTAGGAGAGATTACTAGGCACAATAAAAAAAGGTTAAATGCTAATGGTGAGCACTGGGGATATTAACATAGAAAATTCCAGATCATTTTCAAGTTAAAACTAATGCATGAATGCAAAGCAGATAAATAGTTTCATTACAATATGCAGGTCTACTTAACAACTAAATAGTGTGAAAGAGATTTAATTAGCTCCCTCACTTTAAGCAAATTTTGAGAATTTCTGCAGCAGTTCAGGTAGTTACAAACCTGTATGTGTTTCGGATGCACAATCCATTACTACAAGTAAACTCATTTTCTGTGCAAGATCTCCGTGTGCAGTTCTGGTGTTCATCAAATGCATCACTGCAGTCAGCATCACCATCACAGATCCATGCCCGAGGAATGCACCTCCTGAGCGGAGGTCGATTGTTGGCACATGTGAACTCTGCTGCTGTGCAGTTGCGATTTGCTGAAAGAAAAGTACGTTCACTGACACACCAAGTTATACTCTGTCCATAAAACCCTCCCTCACCACACACACACAGAGCCTGCATATCCACCCATAAACCACAACAGAGCCGTGCTCTGCTGCATGTACAGAGACAGATACCACTGCACCCTCTCATATACAAAACTCATACGCATTCCCACTGATTTTCACTGAGCATTGCTCTTCATGGAGGCTGACTGGAAGCCAGAGCACTTTGGAATTCCTTAGGCAATGCTAGCATGTGCAGAACTCTGGATCTTGTTGGATTCTCAGTATGAGCTTTTCACGCATCTGGCCATATTTTCTGGGAGCTGAACAGGTATTAGGCCTAAACTCTATTCCCTGCTTTCTTCAAGGTTTTATGTGCTCCAGGGAGCAGAGGGAGCACCACTGCAGTTAAAAAGGGCAAGGACTGCAAGTGTATCCAGCTGCTGTTAAAAGAATCAAGGGGCAGGACCGGGCTTGGTGAGCCTTCTTCCCTTTGTTCACCCTCTAAGCCACACTTATTTTGCTCACCAATTTTTAAAGAAATTATGCCAAAACCATGTGGTTATTAATATGCACAAAATGTAGTGCATGACAATCAGGGATTATCTCCACTGAAGTTACTATTGCTGCCCAGATCATACAAACAACCCTGGTTAATTTTATCTCCATTTGAACTAAACAATTGAAAGAAAAGTAACCACAAAATTTTAAAAAGTAAGATGTTCCATTATAATTCAATATAATGAAAATTAAGGTATAGGAAGAGTGTACCTCATGCTTAATGTGCTCCTTTATAGAGGGAAAAATTGGCAGAGAGTGGGAGTTTGGGGTTGGATGGTTGTTTTCTAAAAAATGCGTGCAGGATAAACAACGAAAGTGAAGTATCTATTTGCATTAAACACTTACCACAATTATGTCTTTGATCTTCATCACTCATATCCCCACAGTCATTATCACCATCACAGATCCAAGTTGCTGGGATACATCTGCCATCATCACATCTGAACTGGCTGCTTGAACAAGTCCGCACTGGGGGCACTTAAAAATGAACACAATCACTCTGCTTGTTAAATGAACCGGCATTGCCATGAAAATCTACTGAGGAAGGTATTTTAGGGAGAATCTTATGATAGTAAAATGTAAAAGAGAAGCTTAAGTGTAAGACAGTTAAGGTACAAGTTGCAAGACATTTTCTTAAGCTAAAGATGCAACTCTAGCAATGTGCAAAGTGAGCTATCAGCCTCGCTCTGCCTTGTGTTATATCAACTTTAACAGTGAGAATAATGACTATGTTGTAATACCAACTCTCAGTGACTTCAGTTAGCCCCTCCTCTTCCTCCCTGGAGATTACTCTACTTCTTTTCACCTTCTTCCCTCCTCTGCTGCTTATTACCATCAGTTTCTATTGCACATATAGGATTTGCCTATTGTAATACCATGATACTCTACCTCATGATGTGTCAACAACATTCCTCTGCATCCCACATTCCTTTTTTCCCCAAATGTAATATTGCACGCACACTTCCTGTACAGCATATTTGCTTTTACATCCAAAACAATACCAAAATTCTTGCTACTTTTTGTCACTTGATTCACCACCATCACAGTCTTATAAAGAGACAGAAGGTTATACATTAAGAGTAATCACATTAAGAACAATCAACTGTGGCAATTAAAAGCCTTCATATTCCATACACAGTTTTAAGTATTTAAGACTTGAATTACTCAGTGACTCAGATTATTTAGAGTCAGTGAATAAACCTCAGAAGACACTTATTTTCCATCTAGTCTGCATTCAAGCTGCTGCCTACAAGAGAAACAACTGATTTCCCATAGCCCATCATGTTGTACCTTCTGAGTGCAAACTTACCACAAGAGGCAGGTTCATCAGAGCCGTCAGCACAATCTATTCCTTGATCACAATACCAATGAGCAGGAATACAACGTCCCGATGTACAACGAAACTCACTATTTGTGCAAGTCAGTGAGACTGGAAGAAAAAACCTATGTATGACTTCTTTCTTTCTGTTACCTTTCCAACTTGTTTTAAGTTGCTTTTGAGTCCATGTTATGCAAAAATATTACAGACCCCAAAAAAGAAAGAGAAAAGATTATGCTAGGAAGGACGTCTTTTCACAGCTATCTGCAAAGAGTTCATTGTACAAACTAGCTTGATCTTTGTATGCAAAAAATGAGCTTAATTCTCTCCTTGGGTATACGTATCAGCTATTAAGTAGACACTTTCCATTTGCCCTGGAAATAGGACTGCATGCAGCAACTGTAAATATGTTCCACATTTATACTTGAGATTTCTGCGCAAGAAAATGACCACAGTCCAACATACTCATTTCTGAAGTGCCTAAACCAGGCAGAAGCAGACTCCATTCTTTACAGAGAATCAAATGTGCAGTAAGGAAGTAGTATCACATGGTAAATAATGATTTCCTTGTTCTCCCACTGATTTTTCTTCACTTGCAGGTAGGAATCTTTTCTTAACAGCAGTGAAGAACAACCTGTAACACTGAGTAGTTCCAGCTAAGTGTACTGCAAATATTCCTTCTGCACTTTGGCTAAGCCCCTTGATCCTAGCATATATAGTGAGTTTGATAATGTCTTCATTTGTTACTGATACTTTCCTGTACTCTCTGATGGTTTCAAGATACCAAAAAGGACCTTGTCTGGCCTTTTAACTGGATCTTCTATGTGCCTTTAATGATGGAAATCAAAGGCAATTAACACACTGCTCATTAATATCTTAGGGCTTCTTTGATCTCCCATTCTCCCTTTCTCTCCCTCTTTCTTGCCCTTCACCACATCTCAATTTAAGTAATTGAGCAGTGCTGCTGGGAAAAACAGCAGAGGGGACAAAGTACACCTTTCATGAGCAGCACAAGACTCACTATGTGTGTGTGTATATATATATATATATATATATACACCTCCACATATTTTTTACATGTAGCAGTCCATAGAAAAAAGTGGCCATGTTCTGGCTAGAAAAACTGAACTAATATTTTAGAAAAATTGTGGCATAGTTAATTCAAGGCTGGTACCTTTAGGAAAACTAGTGAAAGCAAAAATAATTCACTCAGGCAATACTTAACAATAATTCATTATCTGAAATTATCAGGTATGTTTTACAAACTGATTCGAAGTATTTTATATGGGAAAAGTACTACATAGCTACTACCTCATACAAATATCTGTACTAGCAAAGATAAGCTCATTTGTAAGGCTGATTGACAACTAGACACTTTTATACACTAACTGGAAGCTACAATGAACAATGAATCCTATGCTAAGGCATACATAACTACATGAAAGAGCTAAAAGAAATTATATTTGAGACTGTACACAATTTCATTTGTTAGAAGGAAAAAATATTCTAATGTTAAAGTACCAAAAAAAGTCAATTCATTATAATACTTAAGTGCCAATTACCTTATAAAGCCATAAAAGATACAAAACAGAATAAGCAAAAGGAATGATGCCTCAAATGTTGTATAAAAATGCTGCAAAAATTATGATCCTTATCATTAGATAAAAGTATGATTTAGATAATTCAGAGCTAATAATACAATGCATATACCTTACAACTCTCCAGTGTTACAGGAGTAGATGGTTTGGGAACAGTTGAAGCTACGTCAAAGATAAAGAGCAGTGGAATAAATTACTGAACTACAAGAAAACTAACCAAGGCCTTGCTAACTTACCACAGTGAGTAGGACTCTCATCACTCATATCTCCACAGTCATTGTCACCATCACACAAATATGTTCGAGGAATGCAAATATTTGTGCTTTGACATTTTGTAAAACCAGACTGGCAAGTGCGCTCCGCTTTAAGGAGGGGGGAAAAAAAAGCAAAAGTTCTTTAGAGCTTTTTTTTTTTTTTAACAATGTTAAGCTGTATCTCATCGAAAGATGCACAATATTGTATTGTTCTTAAAAAGAATCCCATGTCACTCACTTGCCAAAGTGCACTCATACTGCTCGTGCTGTATGGAAACAATTAGACAACTGCTTTTTTGACAAAAACATGATCAAAGAAATACACGCCAATTCTTAGGGGTGATGGAATATAAATTGACATATATTCACACTGTGATGCCTGCATTTGCAACCAGCTGGTACTATATAAATCATCAGACCAAATACAAATAACTAATAGACCAGAAATTTCAAATATTTGGATTTCATTGAGAATAAAAAAAAATGTGGTAAATAATAGGGTTTTTTTAAAAAAAAAAACAAAACAGTGCGCACACAAAAATGTAAAAAACCCAAAGCTTCTACAAATACACTTTCATCTGTTTCACTAACTCCAGATATAAATTTTCCACAGACCGATGTAATCTTAGTGCAAAAACATGATTACTTTGATTAACTGCAATAGTAGTCAATATTGAACTAATAAATTTACATCTTAAGGAAAAAAAACATAACTGATAACTTTTTGAGAACGATAAGGAATATAATTTTAAACAGAACAAATATAAACTGTGCCTGTATAAGAGTCACAATATACACTCCTGATGATTAAATCTAGTATAATCAATATAGTATGACAGAAAGTAAAAACCCAGTGTCAAAATCCAGGCTAATCCTGCAAAAATATAAGCCCTGCATCCAATTCATCTGAAATAATCTTTTTGAAATCCATGGGATGACTCACAAGACCTAACATTAAGCACTGCAGGAGCATTTGTTGTGCCAAAGAAGACTGTTTAAAGCAATAGTTATTAGGTAACATCCTAGGGTACTCCGGAATATCTTTTAACAATTCTATTTGCTTCAAAAACACAAAGCAGAATCTGTAATGGCAAGAAAGAAATCTTTTATCCTCTTCGCTGCTTTGTTATAATCGGCACAACACACAAAAACATTTGCTGCTTCTTTTGTCTAAAGCATCAGACTCAAACATGCACTAGGTAATTAGGATAAACTTACGGCAGTTTCTCTCATCTGATGTGCCATTATCGTAACAGTTGTTTACTCCATTGCAGACGTACTGAAGAGATATACACCTTCCATTATTGCAAGTAAATTCTGTGAGGGAGTCACAAGTTCGGAACAAGCAGCCAACCTCATCACTGTTATCTCCACAGTCATTGTAGTGATCACAGCGGTAATGGTAGGGTACACATCGCCCATTACCACAGGTAAAAGCTGTTGGCTGACAAGTATGGAAAGCTGCAGAAAATATTTAAAAAAAAAAAAGTATATGTACATTGATACAATGTAATTTCAGTTCTCTTACAAAGTAACAAGTAAAATCACTATGTTTTTACCTGCCAGGACAAACACAGGTGCAAAACGGACTGCATGAAAAGTAAAATATATATTTAAATTAAACAAAGTAGAAATTGGTTACACATGAAAAAAAAAAAATCAATACTATAGCGCTTTTGGATTCTAGAGCAAGTCAGTTGCTATTCAGACCTCAAGTCTATGAGCAAGCAAGGGATCGTTAACAAACTACAGCCACAAGACCCATGATCGTAAAGACATAAAAGTGATAGAGAATACAGTACAGGCAAGACAGAGTCTGCCTCACTTTCTCATGCAGTTATTTTCAATGCTTACCACACACACTTTCCAACTCATCACTGCCATCACCACAGTCATTGTCATTGTCACATTTCCATCGCTCAGAGATACAGTGCCCATTAAGGCATGTGAAGAAACCAGTATCACATCGAGTACCATTATCCACAATACAGTGCTTGTTATTATTGGCTAAATACCAGCGACCTTCAGAAGGGCACTGACATTCTGCACCAGCTGGACCTAAATTTATGTTTGACAGTTAAAAAACAAACACACAACAAAAAAGAGACAAAAAATAAAGCAAATTTAACACTAGTGCTCTAGACAGGGTTCTATGAAACTGTTCACAGCTGTAAAACTGGCAAAGGCAATGAAATTCTCTCAACTCCTCTACAGTCTCACTGCTTAGATAGAAGTGTGGCGACTTTGTCAGATTTTTATCTCTGTTAAGCATATGAAAACCCACAAGAGTTATTTCAGAGTTCCCTAGAGGGGAACTGAGATCAGAACTTGGATTATGTTAATATTTGCTTGTTGTCCAAATAGTTTTGGGGCAGCAGCAAGATGGCATCTGATGCTTTCAAATGTCAGAGAGACACCATCTGAGGCTCTATCCCTTGAAATCAAAACAGGGTTTTGAAAACTCCTTGCACTAGACTAACTCTCTTCTCAAAATCAATGGGAATTTTGAGTTGTTTTCATAAAAGACAGATTTTTAAAGGCATTTAAGATGCTAAAAACAAAAGTTTTTGAAAGTCAAGAATCGTAACTTCCAAAAATCCACAACACATGAATCAGCTCTGTAACAGCTATGCCCTCTGGGGTACACTGCCATTCTGATTTCCTGGCCATCTGGACTGTTGACCTGTCAGAGCACCTTGACTCTCTCAAAAGGACATCTGCCTCACAGTGTAGATATAAATCAATTTGTGCTATTTTCTTAGTAACTGTCCAAGATTTAAAATGAGGAGGTAGAAATGTTTATTTTGGAAATTAATTATTAAGGAAAGACTTCATACTATCACGTGATAAAGAAATAGTGACCATAAAGATTTTTTAAATATGTGACAGGAAACACCTGTTCAGTATACAGTAAATCACTACGTATTCCTAAGGTAACCATATGCTGCAGTGCTCAACTGATGTCTCATCCCAAAGGAAAAATTAAAAAAGTTAAAACCCCAGAAAAAAATGTTTTGGTTTAAATTAGAGAAACACATAATTTTTATTTGTGAGGATTCTCAGACACAACCCTGAGGTGTGTGGGCAAAATACCACTACCTTGCAATCATTTTGATCACATTTAAAAATAAAAAAATATTAAACATTTAGGAATACTAAGAAATATTATAGCTGTCCCTATGTGACTAAAACTGTTATACTATGAACTTGAGCACAGGCAATACTAATAGCTTACAGTCATCAAGTATAACAGCTTACCTGGTGCACAGATGTGACTGCAGCCACCATTGAACTGGTTGCAAGGGTTGGTACACTGCTGCTGCTTACTTTTTGCCCAGACATGAATGTCCATCGGTCTTTGTGGAAGATTCATGATCATTACAATCTGATCTGAACCATCATACTTATTAGCTCGATAAATGCTTCGTGTGTTCCAGTCTGTCCAATATATGTGCTGATCAAACAATGTCATTGCAAATGGATGCAGAGCAGTGCTAACAATGACCTCACGATTTGTACCAGTGAGAGTGCATCGCTCAATCTTCTGCCTAAAAGAACAAAGAAATTATTACATCTTTAGAGAACTAAGTCTTTTAAGTTATGTATAAAGCCATGTGCTAATTAGTCCTGCAACTAGTATCCATCATTTCAGCAATGTGCACCAATATGTAGGGTGCTGTTATGAGTTAATAATCTCAAATTTTCCAATCTATGGCTTCAATAGTGACAGAGTAGCAGCTCTGTAATACTGACGCAATAAGGTCCTGGAAGTAATCAAGCTGAAGATTGAAATGTCTAAACTACCCTACTGAGAGCTAAAACAAATGTAAAACTTCACGAATATGCTTTTCAAATGGGTATGATGTTAATGACTTCTTGTACCAGGAGAAAACCAACAGTCTCATAAAATGGGACATGTTTTAATTTCAGTTTTATCTTCTGCAGATCAAAATTTACACAATCAGGAAATACAAGCAAATTCACAAGACTATACACACATGTTTTCTGCTATTTCTCACATAAGAATACAGGAGGGAAAGACTGTTCTAATATATAATAACCATCATATATATATAATATTGAATAGCCACAAATATATAATGGATGATAAACATTTCTTCCTAGTTGATCTTCCAGTTCTGATTCTATCTTAGGAACAGTGTTTGCAATGATAAACAAAATTCCAAGAAACAAGACTTCAAGGAAGCCCAGCAAATCAGGGTTTAACTCCATGTTCTGTG